TATGGCCAGCCACATCTCATTGATGAGCCCTGACGTTGCACCGCACTTCATTTGTGAAGATGTTTGTACCTGGTGGTTAGGAGTTCCAGGGTCCCTTGCAGAAACTACTCCCAATAACTATTTTTTTCGACACTCAAAAACATGAAACCCTGTAAATTACCATATAAAACCACCCCCGGAACTGAACCCGGAGGGATATATCTGGTCTCTCATAGTGAGTGGAGGTCAGAAGCTGCTGTCACCTGCAAGCCTACTGCAATGCCTGGGGCCCATGTGCTGAAGACAAGCTCAGCTTGAGAGTTCCAATCCAGTCGCTCGCGTATCAGAGCCAGATCCCATCAAACTGGGCACTCAGGCTTGGATTTTGCTGCGCCCGTCGTGTGAGTCTTATTTGTTTTTCTCGTAACATGTGGACTGGGTAGCAAGCACCGTCATTGCAGCAATGTTCCTGTAGCAGCATGGCTGTCCATTTGTTGTAGACATGGTGCCTTCAATGATGCGGCAACCTCAATGGAGGCTGTGCAAAGCAAGACACAGCTGCAGGGCTCCATGACCGTCCAAAGCGCGGTGGCAGCTGCCAAGATGGTGCTGCCCCCAACTGGAAAATACATGTTCCGACTGCGATGCACTCATGTCTTTTCTGCCGCTGTCCAGCAGTGTATTGGGATATTTGCAGCAGATACTGTCTATCGCGCCGTAGGCAGGATTTGTATCCAGCTGTCAATGTACAAAGCTTCGGAGAGAGAGTAGGTCAGGCGTTTTCCAGTTCTGAGGGGCTGCCAGCTGACGGTCCAAACAACTCTGCAGCAACCAAGGTAGGCACCCAGCTCTTCACCATCCTGCTTTGGGCAGTGGTGCTAGAGCTTGGAGAGGTTGTTGAGGCTGGATATGGCTGGATGTCTTTTGCAAGGCTGCAGCCTTGCCAGGCTGAATCAAACAGGCAATTTAGCTTGGCAGCATGGTGACATTCGTCGTTGTTTCTGGCGTATCAAGCGCTCTTTTTCCTACAGCTGCAGGCATGCCGTGAGCTTGTACTCCAGGATGCAGATCCCTCGACGGCACGGCGCTTGGCTTGTTGCCTGCAGAGTTTTGCAAAGTCTTGGGTTTTGGAAGGGCCTGTTGGCCTGGTGTCAGGTGGCTCTGGTGTTGGCCGTGGGACATGCTTGGCTCTCGGCTCTCTTGTGCTTGGACAAGTCTGGATCAGGCTTTTTTGCTGTAGGCTGTAAACTCATTGGACGTCAAAATGGACAGGCTACAAGTGACAATGCTCTTTTGAGACATGCCTACTGGCCACGGGCCCGGTTGCTTGCGCTGTATCTGAGCACTGCGCGCAATGTGGGCAACAGTGCACTATGACCGCTGTGGGGTGGAGGCGAATTCGTGAAGAATTGTGCGGGGCAACGGGAGCGGCCTGGCCGAAGTCTTGATCAGCTTATGCAGACAGGCAGGCAAGCATTGCCAGGTGCCTGAGGAGTGGTTGCAGGGTGCGAACCCCGTCCGACTTCTCAAAGGTGCCCTTGTGGTAGCTCTTCCCCTACAATTCTGGTAAACAGAGCGATTCAGCCTCATCATCCCACGGTATGTATAGTGTTGCTGGACAGGCGGGTACCTCGCACACCGCACCGTCTGCAAGACGCCTTTGAAAGTTCTTTCTAACGCCTTGCGCTCGTGTGACACTGGGGGCACCTGAAGCACCTTGAAGCAGAGTTCTGCAGCCTGCATAGTCAAAGTTGGCCAGCGAGGCTTTGGAGGAAGACATTGCTGCAAAGCACAGGCCATGTGAACGACTGCGTCATGTACCGAAGCATAGGCTGAACTCGGGGTCCTGGAAGGCAATGGCTCACCTCCACAGATTGCTACACTCTGTGCCAGGTGCAGACAGTGTCTTCGTGCTGTGCAGACTGTCTCGAACATTCTCGGCTAGCCGTCTTGAGGTGCACAGAACACGCTCTGAGGATGGCGGCTACCCTCACTTTTATGAGCAACCCGGCAGAGAGAATCCTCGAAAAGTAGACCCACAAAGCCGAGCAATTACCGAAGAAAGGTTACGCCTCGATCACTCAGACGAGATACTCATGACAGCGCAGAGGCGCATTGCGTAATCTGAAAGTAATCGTCAACTTGATTAATTTGGTGCTGGCCTTGGCAGGGAAGATGAACAGAGTCCTTGCCGAATCTACGCCCACAAGGCAGATTTGAAATCCCAAGAGCCCAACAAACTCTAGATTCTAGACACGGACTTTGCGAAAGGCAGCTGGTCCTGAGAAGTCCGAGCACTGCCAGGCCGCATCTTTGAGTGCTTAGCAGCTTTTGAGACCCGAGAAGTCTCTGTACAGTGAAAGGAATACATTGGCAGCGTGGTGCCAAACTTCTGGGGCACCCTCTTCACACTGTACGATAGCGGTGCTGACGCCAATCCGGCGTGCTTCTTTGCGGGATGTTCGAGGATTTTCCCCTGCAAGTCTGTGGCCGCTTGTGCAGCCGTTGCAGGTGGAGGAGCTCATGAGGCGCGGAGAGTGGCTGCGTGGCTTGCCACTAAGGCGCGGGTATGTTCTTTTTCATGTGGAAATTCGGTCTGCAAGCTTGTAAGCTCACAAGTTTATAGAACCGCAGAATTCTTGACAGTTTAGTGCCCAGTTTGCACTCGGTTTTTTAGGGCTTGCCTCCACATATTGATAATTCTCAGCTGTGCAAGGCCGCGGCAGACCATCGTGAAGATCGGCTATGAGACCAACGTTTTCGGAGACAGTCCAAGGAAAGTGCTGTGGCCCCCTCTTCTCGCTATTTTTCCCGAAAGCCCCTCTGGGGTTGGGTTCTCGTTTAGTTCACACACACGAGGGCGCGATATTGGTGTGGCGCTTCCGGCTAGAGTAAAAAAAGACTAAACGCTGCGGGGCCGGATGTGTGGTGGGTGGGATTTCTCGCGGGTGGTGGATATCGCCGGTCTGGATGTGTTGTGGATGGGATACCCCTGCGGATGCATTGCTCAAAGGACTAAACGCTGCGGGGTCGGATTTCTCCCGGGTGGCAGATATGTCGGTGGATATATGGTGGATGGGTTTCATCTGCAGATGGATTTCTGGTGGCTATGAGGTGGATGGGCTTTCTTTGCGGGTGGGATTTCTCGCGGGTGGTGGATATCGCCGGTCTGGATGTGTTGTGGATGGGATACCTCGGCGGGTGGGATGTCTGCGTGGGGGGGTCCTGAACCCTTGCAATCAAAGGAGGGGTGCGCGATATCGTCTGCAAGGGGGGGTGCTGGACCCTTGCAATCCAAGGGGGCGTGCGCAATATCGTCTGCGCAGGGGGCTGCTAGACTGCTGCAATTAAAGGGGGGTGCGCGATATCGTCGTCCGCCGTGAGGGGGCCTGGACCCTTGCGATCAAAGGGGGCGTGCGCGATATCGTTTGCGCGGGGGGTGGCTAGACCCTTGCCAATCAAAAGGGCCGTCTGCGCGGGGGAGTGCCGGACCACCGCAATCAAATGAAAAGGGGGGGGCGCGATATCGTCTGCGCGGGGGGCTGCTGGACTGCTGCAATTAAAGGGTGCGCGAGATCGTCGGGCTGCTAGACCCTTGCAATCAAAGGGGGGGTGCGCAATATCCTCTGCGCGGGGAGCTGCTGGACCACTGCAAAGGGGGGGTGCGCGATATCGTCTGCGCGGGGTGCTGCTGGACTGCTGCAATTAAAGAGGGGGTGCGCGATATCGTCTGCGCGGGGGGGCTGCTGGACTGCTGCAATCAAATCAAAATGGGGCGCGCGATATCGTCTGCGCGGGGGGGGGTGCT